GGTAGCGTTTGCGACGGCTAAGGTTAGCGTCGTGGCGACTGGTCCGCGCTTCGCCACTATGCTTGTCTTTATCGCATCCCTTAAACCCGCTGTCTTTTAGCAGTAGGCACACCTCCCCTTCTTCCACATCCATTTCATTGTAACATCCTCTTTTTAGTGATGCTGCCACCACTTACTAGAAAGGCGCATCGATAGGATACCAGTTATACTTTGAACAGTGATACTTCTCTAATTGGAATCATATTAATCGACCGTAGGCACTACAGCTTGAATGCAAGAACATAGGCACGATTATTAGAATCTAAATATAGGCTTAGTATATTTCAAGAATGTTTTAGATATCGAGATGGTTGGAAACGCTTATCATTCATGAAAAATTTAGAGTTCACATATTCAAGTCATAAACATCTGTTATTCAGAAATTTTGCTAAATCTTGAAAGTTATCGATAGCTCTTCCACATGCGTGTAAATGCTCATGGTATGTATATGCGAAAGATGATTACATTTAGATGTACCATCCTGCATAAAAGAAAAACTTACCACTGATCAGGCTAGAAGAGTACGATCCATCAGGCGGTGGTTCGTCTACTGGAAGTGATACCTAAAAAAGCTATTAAATCTGTTATTTCCGAGACTTACTAAGAGGCGCGGCACGTACTACCAAAGGTGAAGCGAAACTTTTTCCTTTTCACAGTAGAACAGAAATAATGCATTTCACATGCTACCTAAATCAGAGTGTTTCTCAGGAAGAAAACTCTAGCAGGAAACCTCAGTGTCGACGTAAGTCTACTGGCAATCCCTTCCTCACCACGAATTCGCGATGTTTATCCACTACACTAAATCCAAGCCTCAATGATTCTGATTCTAATAAGAATCAGAATCATTAGTTATTGGAATCATTTTCTAATAACCCCGAGATCAATAGGTTCGAGACTTGCAAAACAAGTGGCAAAATTACACAGTCCCAGATATGTGAACAAAAAAAAACGGAAAAGGGTATGAAGAAGGAAAGTACGCTTCGGCAGGTTCTTGCGAAGTGTAAACTTTTGGAAAGAACTAATCTAGAACCAAATCAAAGCCTCTATCAAAAGGCAATTCCATCTCTTGAGCCTCCAGACTCGTTTCATTTACAAATGCAACTATTACCACTTCCAAGTGAAACCTTTTGGTAATGCCAAAACAAGGTTAGTAGAAAAGGAAGAATAATTAAACTTTTCCCCAGGTCGTAAGTAAGCACTGAAGGCAGATTCGCTCACATTCTTTGATCGCTTGCAATCTGCCCCATCAGCCGATCGACGCTTCGATGACCGTTTCTTTTTCGGTGATGGCTCCTTTGGTGGTATGAGTTCCGGACGAATAGTTTCCACATCATCACCAATAAGATCCAGAAAAAGACCTTCCACTTCTCGCACTGAAAGCGAGAAGGTTGTGCGAAGCAAGTATTTTCATTTCCATCACTTTTTGGATGCATCCTTGAAATAAAGAATTCAGAAAAAATTGAGAAACAGTATTTAAAAAGGACACTAACACGGAATCTCAGTGAACTTATCCATTCGCAGCTCGTCCTTGTCTTTTTCAAGCTCCCTGAGCCTTTCAAGTTCAGCCAACACATTGTACTCTTCATCGTCAGGGTCGTCGTCATCTGCAGGCGGGTTCTCACTCTCTGAATGAAGAGGTCACATTGAAATTTGGAAGATCTCCTCAGTAGCTCACAATAAATACTACTATTTTCGGGATACTCCATTTCTAAAAAACCCTCCACATATAATATCATCAGAAAACGTCGCTACACAACTCAACTCATGACCATAAGAGATCTCACCATGAATAGGGGTTGACGCCTGTATTCCTTGTAGGAAGCTCAGGTAATCCGGATTTTCGACAAAAGTGAGCATCTGTGAGCAAAGCAAATGTCTTACAAAGCACTCAAGAAAAACGAGAAGCGAAGAAACTGCGGCTCACTTCTTGACCGTGGTAGTCGGTAAATGTATCGAAACTATCTTGTGCAAATGTGTCCTTCAGTGAATCACATAGCGAATCATCAACATTGGGAATGCGAGACCTAAGCTGGTAGGGAGAAACCTCGGAATCGCCGAGGTCTGATATCTGAAATGCTGACTTTGTAAAAACGATTTGTTGATAACTGCCCACTAACACTAGTAGTACACCGACATCGTCGCATATTGCATGAATAACTGCATAAAGAAAACTGGTATAATGAAATTTACAAAACCGCTCAGCAACGAGCACATCAATCCTCACTCAATTTGAGTTCTTCATCCTTCAACATTCGACAAACTCTTAATTTTCCCTCGCTCATTGTTTTCGACATTAACTCTTTCCCTCCGTGTGTCGCCTTTCCCACCACCCGCAACTCTTCACAGATGTTCTGTTGTTTTCTTATCACTTGAATGGGTTGTAACGCGGACAATGCTGTCATTTTCCGAACGGAGTTTTTCCTCTAACCACAAGTCCCACGCCTTTGAATCACTTCATATAACACTCGAAATTCTACATTACAAGATTATGTATTTAATTTCTACAGTCTATTTCTAATTTCGCTGTAAGTGTGGTGATTTTCAAGCTCTCGAAGAGGTCTAGCCGACGAAAATTAGCCAAACTGACAATTAAATTAAACTCTGTTCCCAATAAAAGAAATCGGATAGGATCTACTATGGAAGCGAGCAAGTGTTCTTTCGACCGCTATTTGGATATCCAGAAGTTGCAATTGATTCTTCGAAATTTTTGATTTCAGGTCGAACTCGGTAGTTGAACCACACCTTCACCGAATATAGACAGGGTAAACCGTCCATATGTCAAGTTCAACGAGTGGGCCGTAAATATCTAACAAGGGAAAAGGGCATCGTAGGCGCAAGAACCAGCGACAGAATTTGGACCACCAGCATAGCAACGGAAGGGATACCTTGAAAAATCACTGCGAATACTGAACACAGGAGAGTATGGCGTCCCCAGAGCAGTGTTGTTACCAAAATCTTTTTGTTGAACACGAATACACGTAACCAATAAAACCCCTCTCCCTGGTGTACCGCTTATATGTGCCTGCATTTGATGCACTTTAGAATGCAGTCTTGGTAACTGATTGGCGTTCAAACAAGAATCAAAAAAAAATGAAAAGGCATGAAAGCTAAGTGATCGTGGCAGATACGCACCATCAATCTATCATCCACCAAATCTTCCGCTTGATCTGCACCCACAGGTCACATCAAGAGCATCTTCTCGATCACGAGTTCTCTCAGCATCGTGTGTAGTTAAGGTCTCATTTCCTTCGTCGTCATCGTCACTCTCATCACTCTGAAACTGTCAATGTTAAAACCACACTTTGACTTCGACGCATGGCTAGAAGTGTAGATGTATATCAGCTAGTTAGTTCAGGCCACCTCCGATTTGCTTGTCAAGCCTAACCATAAGCCTAATCTTAATCTTGAGCATGAGCCAATATATAATCATGAGTCTAAGCCTACGCGTGACCATAAGCTTCAGTCGTCGCGCAGATTTGGTGACCTAAATAGGAGGAGAAGTAAACGTTCGCCTGTATACTTCGTGTATGCTAGGTGAGTGATCAAAACCCGTCATACAGCCAATGACGATACCCTGCGGTTCAAGACAAGCAGTTAAGGTAGACTCAACGGAGGCTTCAGCCATCTTTATTAACCTTTACCCCGCTGGAATAATTCCTGGTTCTCTGGGGGAGCAGGACCGTCCCATTGACTTAAGGAAAAACGCGCTCTAAATCAAGCAAGTTTCACAAAAACATTGACTCATGACCCAAAAACACTCGTAACGCGAAATACGTCGCTATCATTGGTTATGGCATTGAAGAAATTGCGCGTTAAACACTGTAACTGACTCCTACTTCAACGAACAACATTTTCCAGATATTTCGAGCAAGGAGCATGAAAACGCGAAGAATTCGTCCACAACCCTTATGCAACCCTTATGTAAACCTCTTTAATCGAGTTTCGTTGCAGCCATCTTCAGTGATACAACAAAAAGCCATGCAGTGGTGTTTTTCGTCATGCGAATTTGAACGTGCGAACGGATGCGAGATGTCTCATTAGGATGAGCACCTTACTTTACGCGTCAACGCTGGTACACTATTTACCTATTTATCTGATCATCTAGAGAGATGTCAAGAGTCCATGATTAGGAGTCGTGGAAGGAAAAGAGGGGGGGTCACTAAGACAAAGACAAAGCAAAGGGGAGCTGAAGGATTTGATGAGTGGAATCAAGAACAGTATGGGATCGCAAATGTATAGGGCAATGTCGTATAAACGGCAGGGAAGATACAGAAGAAATGGAAATATTGCAAGACGGAAGAAAAAATGACGCAATGCAAGAGTCAAGAAGTCTAGAAATATGCCTGAACAGGTCCAGAAAACAGAATAGGAAGCTGACCTTCACTTGTGCTAATAAAGTTTACATGAGGAAATAAAGTTGTATTCATAAAGTTGTATTCATTTAATGTACACGATGGATCTTCCATCGGCGCTTGCATTCACCCCTGATATCAAGGTGTATGCCTTTGCTGATGACGTCAAAGCCTTTACTAGCTTTGACAGTGGCCAGTTCGCTATTATGCCAACTTTGATGAATGACGTTCTGTCCCGTATGTCCTCATGGACTCATGAATGGGGT